TATCGATTAAATTTACAGATTATTGTCTATGACTCACAGGTTACAGCACTGATGTGTCAGAGACAAGTCATAGACAATATGGAGATAACACATGATTTTAAACGTCAAGTCAATTTGACAAGTCTCACAAATTTTCATCGTCCACGTATTTTGCTAAAATACATTGTTTCAAAGATTGATTTCAAACTTGTATAAACGTGAAAATAAAGTTGGTTTCATGGGCTTGTTAAATAATGTGTATGATATTATGAACACGTAAGTGATTATGGTGTGATTGTGTATGAAAGTGTTTGTTTACATCTCTGCTGGATTCTAAAAAATCAAGGTTATACTTTCTTTAATTTATTCGACGAAGTTTCAACAATAGCAAAGTTAGCGCGTGTGACGGTTGCGTGCTACGGCTGCCTTAGAACGTAATCAGCCGCACGTTACAATTAACTAGACTATAAGCTGTTGGGAACAAAGAGTTTATAGTTTATGGAATCAAAAACATTGTACGGTTAAGTTAGATATGGATTGAGATTATGAAAATATGAAAGAATGTTACCCAAACCCAAACAAAGAAATGATTTAAAAAGTAGTAAACTGGGTGAACATTAATATTATTTATTTTATTTTGAAATAATACTTAGTCATTGAAATATGATGATGATGATGTATTGAATATTAAATACCTTCCTAGAGTAGGTAATAATAGCCCAGGTTGCTTACGGTTAAATACATGACCCTATAAAGTTATAGGTTCATGGTTAAAGAAGTTAGATAGATCCAGTTACTTTTAACTCGAGCTTTTGTTGGTTAGTTTACTGTTTAGGTTGAGGTTTAGGTATTGTTGCGTGTTGTATCTGTAAAAGTACCGTTAAAATATCGATTAAAAACCGCGGTGTCATGTGAAATGCGGGCTTGTCTTCTTTATCGCGATGGTTTAACTTTTAAATGCATGCCATAATTACCCTTATAGAAAGCCATTAAAAGAGTTAATTATGTTAAATTGGAAGGGTAGCTTTTTAGATAGGAATAGATAAGAAATAAGAACTGTTTTATTGCACATAAACTAATAGAATAATACTTTCATTTTAGTAAAAAATAATAATTTAGGTTGTCTCATAGCGAGGAATGATAAGAGGGGCCAGTCCATTATCAAAGTAAGAATAAGCAGAAGAAGTTTTACTATGGAAACCCAACGAAGGGGTTACCTACGCCATATCGAATAACAAATGATCGAAAATCAAAATATCGAATACGTTTCATCCTCAGATCATAGAAGGGAATAGATGTGAAACGGGGGCGTGGCGCGTGTCTCCGCGATATGCCCAGAAACGAACATCGGCCGCGTAGCTATAGTCCGATTTTTAATTCGACGGAATTCTGACAGCTGTCATTTTTTGACAATTCAGATGTGATAAGCCTTTTTTGCTTTGAATTATTAATAAATAATATGAAATGAAATTTCATCAAGTACAACTTACAAGAATGAACTATTGTTTGTTTTGTCAATTCAATGTACACTAATTATTATGTACATTTTAGAGATTAAATAGAAAAAAACGTGTTTTAACACAGTAAAACAACATATTATCATAAACGAAAATATGTATTGATCATCAATAATCATTATCGTCGTCATAATCAACTTGGATTATAAAATTGGCATCTTGTTAAATTGGTTATTTTATGAAGCTAAGATTTTATTAACAAAAAGATTTTCATAAAAAAGGTTTGTAACCCATGGATTATTGACCAGGGAGTCCAGTAATAGAAAAATAATTTCCCAACTTTTTTTGTAACTTCAAAAATATGATAATAAAAATTCAAATAACCATTTTGAAATGATCAGTACATTTTTAAGCCTTAGTTTTTCAAGTGAAACCTTAAATTCAAGAAAGGATTATTTTTTAATTTGTGAAAATGCTCTCCATTCATAATGGGAATGTTTCAATGTTGACAACACTTCTGAAATGTCAAAATTCCGTCGAATTAAAAATCAGAGTTTAGGTTAGTCGCGATTAGGGTATGCAAAACCGAAAGTTTATCAAAAACCGATTTTTTTTTCGGTTTTCAAGAAAAAAAACCGGTTTTCGGTTTTTAATCGGTTATTATCGTTCTATTTTTTTTTTTCAATCAACTAGTAGTTACATACAGCGATTTGTTACGTCCTGTCCGTTTTGTGTTAGATTACATTATTTAAGAGAGGGTTATAACAGTTTTGATAAATTTAGCTTATTCATTAGGCATTATAGGCACATAATGCATAATGTATAAGCTAAATTTAACTCAAGGGATGGTAGTTTATCTCCATTGTACGTAATAATTGTCAACGAATACGTTTTAAAATTCATTACTCTGTCGGTTTAGTATTTTGTTAATTACCACCATGTACGTAATGTAAAAGACCTACATCAAAAACGTACTTGCTTACAATTACTATTGATATAAGCAATATCTTAATTTAAAAAGCATAATAAAATGTAAAAAGCTTTAATTTTGTGAACGTTAGGTGATTACGATTGATATTTTAAGCTATATCTTAAAAATAAAAAGCTTGTAATTAAAAAGTAGAATAAAATGTAAAAAGCTTTAATTTTGTGAACGTTAGGTGATTACGATTGATATTTTAAGCAATATCTTAAATTAAAAAGTAGAATAAAATGTAAAAAGCTTTAATTTTGTGAACGTTAGGTGATTACGATTGATATTTTAAGCAATATCTTAAATTAAAAAGTATAATAAAATGTAAAAAGCTTTAATTTTGTGAACGTTAGGTGATTACGATTGATATTTTAAGCAATATCTTAAATTAAAAAGTATAATAAAATGTAAAAAGCTTTAATTTTGTGAACGTTAGGTGATTACGATTGATATTTTAAGCTATATCTTAAATTAAAAAGTATAATAAAATGTAAAAAGCTTTAATTTTGTGAACGTTAGGTGATTACGATTGATATTTTAAGCTATATCTTAAATTAAAAAGTATAATAAAATGTAAAAAGCTTTAATTTTGTGAACGTTAGGTGATTACGATTGATATTTTAAGCAATATCTTAAATTAAAAAGTAGAATAAAATGTAAAAAGCTTTATTTGTGAACGTTAGGTGGTATTTTTGTCAAATTTCAATACACTAAGTATTACAGTAATAAGCTTCTGCAGATATCGCAAATAAATGAGATTCAATGTTCGAAACAATTCAGAAATAAAAACTGTTCAATTCACTCACACATAGGTTAATTATTCACTGCAATAATCACCAACCACCGGGGATTCCCCGTTTAAAGGTAAACGACGGAGTAACCAAGTGACAATGTTGCCAAGTTATAAATTGTAAAATAACCAAATATTCGTCAAATATCAAAATACCCAGGTTATATTATAATAAAATGATATTGCTTATTTATGGAATTTGTTACATGTATACAGATAGAAAAACCGATTTAAATCCGGGTTTCGATTTTTAAAACCGGTTTTAGAATTTGTCGAAAAAGGGCGGTTTTTCCGATTTTTCGGTTTCCGATTAACCGGTTTTGCATTCCCTAGTTACTTGCGATTATAAGATTTTACAAAAAAAAAACAGTATAAGTAGGTAATTAGTAACTGTCAACTATGTAATTACTATAAGAGCTAGTTGAAAGCCTAATATAGGCATTATTTTTGATAAACATATGCGGTACGCAGATCGCCATAATTAAAAAATAAATGCGTGATAGTAGTTAATAATAACGTATAATAATAAAAAGGTTTTCATACGTAAGCATTTTGTGAAACCAGTTTCGAGCCTTGCTCCTAGCGATAATCTTGTCGACTCCATTTTATCTTTGTTCTTTCACTAGCGTTTTCTAAGTGTGCGTCACGTCACGCGGCCATTGATTGACCATAAGGCACGCCATCTGGCCAATCACAGCACTTTTAAGCCGGTTGCACATGTTGTCGTAGACTCTCAGTCGCTTTGTTTTTACACAGTTGAATGTGTGTGTGGGAGCTGTGGTGGGGGAAATGTGGGGACACTGGTTCTCGTTTTAGTTACGCGCGACTTCATATCTATTCTCTTTCTATGATCTGAGGTTTTTTTTAATTTAAGTTATTTGTATGAAAGATTACGCGGTAATAAGCAGTTTACGATTTACGAGGTATTAAAAAAACTACTTACTAGATCTCGTTCAAAACAATTTTCATTGGTAGTTTTTATAGTAATGTACATCATATGTTTTTTTTTAGATTTTTCATTTTCTTATTTTAGAAGTTAGAAGGGGGGGACCAACTTTTTTCCACTTTGGAAGCGTCTGTCACGCAAACTGGTTTAGAAAAAAAATATTTTAGAAACCTCGATATCATTTTTGAAGACCTATCCATAGATACCCCACACATACGTGTGGGGTATCTATGGATAGGTAACACATACGTGTTTGATGAAAAAAAATATTTGAGTTTCAGTTCTAAGTATGGGGAGCCCCCAATATGCGGTTCACAGAATACATCTACCTACCAAGTTTCAACAGTATAACTCTTATAGTTTCGGTAAAAAATGGCTGTGACATACGGACGGACAAACGGACAGACAGACATGACGAATCTATAAGGGTTCCGTTGTTTGCCATTTGGCTACAGAACCCTAAAAAGTGTAAAATAAAATTATAATAATTAAAAAACTTCTTTAAAAACTAGCTTTTATTCTGAAATGCAGTTGTACTAAAACGAAAAAAATAATTGTACTTATGCAAGGTTTAAATATTTTGAAAGCTTGTAGCGCAAACATAAAAGAGGAATAAATTCCATGCGCGATACAAGCTTTCGAAATTATTTGAACCTTGCATACAATTTTTTTTTTTGTTTTATTTATTATCGTGTGTTAACGGATTAACGATTAACGTTAACTTGCGTTAAATCTTGCGAAATGTAACGGTTTAACGTTTAACGAAGTTAATTTTTTTATTAACGGTTTAACGATTAACGAAGTTAACTATTTGATTAACGGTGCCCAGCTATGACCAAGATGTTAGATACTTACCACCGTCCATGATGTCCTTTTTGCTGGCTTCGGCTGCTTTATCGCCTTTGCCTGCGTTGTCGTAGTTGAAGCAGGCTGTGAACAAAGAAGAACATTTTAAAACTCATCCCAAACCAACAACACACAGTCCATGACACAGTTAATAATTGTGAATGAGATCAGGCAGGAACTACTGGTCTGATTTGTAAAATTATATTTGTGTTAACCCCTTTATCGAGGAAGGCTTTATGCATAACATCACCTTACAGCCAAGACAGGCCGGAGCAGTATAGAAAAATGTTACAAAAACGTGAAATATTATTCTATTTTCTGTCACGCGTACGAAATCGCGAACACAGCTACTTAGGTAGTGTTAAGAAAAGTGATGGATCGGTGCGTTAATAGTTAATTGAGGACATCAGTTCGACAATCATAAACCCATCACAGATTCATGAAGGTTTCTATTGCCACAGCAATAGTATGAAATTAATTGTTAGGTATCTTATAAATATTACCGAAGCCAAATGGCGTGGACCATATTCTATCAAACTGAAGGCTGATCAGGGAAATAAATGCAAGAGAAAAATACCTTTCTCCAGATGTTCTAAACGAATGCTGCGGGAGTTTTTGAGTCCAGGAAAATGTTATGAATATTAACATAAGAAGACTGTTATCAATGTAAAGCTATTCACAATTAGAGAGTGGCCCCATCGAGCGACTTGGCGATGGCAATGGGCAAGTGTGGTGTGTGGTCAGATTGACAGCTGTGGGAAAATCCTCAGTAGGCAACAGCTTATTCAAACAATCAATAAAACACACAGTATCTAGAACTACCTATGGTTAATAAATAAGTACTTAATGGTCGTCCGTGACAACTCAAGGACTGACGGCAAATGCGATCCGCCTGTTTAATTCCCAAGCGATATGATATATGAAAGTTAATAATTACTTTAATAACTGAGTATTAGGGCCTTGCCACACTTACATCCAATTGTTTTACGCCCGTATTCACAAACATTACTATGTTATATGCGCGTGGACGCACAGCGTGACACATGAATAAATCACGGAGCTCTATTCAACCATGTGCGTCCGATTTGCAAATTTGTGAATTTGCTTTACCAACTCTATTTCGGAAGGGAGCTCTATATTCGGCAGATAATGCAACAAAATATGATACACATGATTGATCGACAGGGTTTATCAAACCTGAGGTGCCGATCTATTTGGAATAAAAGATAGCCTATGATCTTTCCTATGTCCATCCCCACACCTTAAATACATCAAAATTGGTTCAGCAGTTTAGTCGTGAAAACGTAACAGACATACAGATGGTTTACTTTTGCTTTATTATCTAAGTAGGTATGGTGGTATGGATTGCAATAAGTAGGTAGGTAAGAAGGTTATTCCAATTGTTGTAAACAACTTCAGGAGATACAATCGATTAATTTTTAAAGCGGCCATGTGTCACTCAATTTGCGACAAAGTCACCTACTGAATTGCTTAGGTTCTGGAAGTTTCTTTCGAGTCATGCTTGGCCTAACTAGTAGTACATGACTCACAGTCTGGCGTCCTCAGTCAGCCAAGCCTACGCGAGCTGTCTCAATAAAAGATAAACCAAATAGGCCGTGACTTCCAGCAATTTTGATAAATAGTGCAGAGACAATAGGTAGGTCTAGGTACAGCCAACACCCAGGCTAAACCTTTTTGTTGCAAAAACATAACTATTTAAACTTTTTAAGGTGCCCTTGTTAGCCTTTATGTGCCTTCTTTGTCTGTTGGTACATTGAACTGTGAAAAAGCGCTTTTCATTAAATCTAAATACTAGGTACCCTAAATAAAAGTTTTAAACACTAACTTCTTTGTTTATTTTTGTCTAAAATTCTGAAATTCGTAAAAATATGTAAATAATGTAACAGATTAAGAAAAAAAATTGAACGACCAATTTTCCTTTGGTAGTTACTAATAAAACATGAACTAACAGTTAAATAAGTGCATCATAAAGTTATAACATCATTTTAAATGTTAAAACACTAAACAAAAAATGTTAATTTGGAATTGTTACTAAATATATTTTCATTTCACTCCTCACCTGAGAATTCCCGCGAAGATTTCAATTTTTTTTTCAAGCAATGATAATTCGGCGTATTCAGCCAGGCCACTATCACCTAACACTCGCGACTCAATAATGTTCGATGGGAATGGGAGGCATTATGCTGTCACACTGGTAAAATCGATTTGCCATAACATCGGATAATTAGGCTATTCAAGTACGATTATTGTATCGCCACGGTTTATTGAATGTATTTTTTTTATAAAAACACGCAAATGGGTGATTCAGACAAGAGGAAACTATGGAATGACGCGTATCTTTATGAACTGGCTGGTGCATACACGGTAAGACAACAACTTTGACCTTGTGCCATATTTAGAAATTCTCTAAAAAAGCGGTTAACTTACTCTAGATGTGATGTTTTTGCCAACTTTTATTTTGATGTAAGGAAAAGCATAAAATATCATCTACTTGCAAAGCTAGTAAAACTTATTGATCACCAAATTGGAAGCTATTAGGAATACATTAGTCCTTATCAATCTGATTGTTATGAAATGTTATGTCGCCATAATCGGGTCGAGATTCTTATCAAAATTACATGATCAATATTGTCTATCGTTTTGTTTGGAATGATGCTATTGTTGATATATTGCTTGTAAACACATTAGAGATAGCCTTGAGAATATTCTGTCGAACTACAGACAACCTAAGACGGTCATTTCATTTAGTATAGCTACTTCAATAGTGCACCAATACTACAATAAATACACAGCAACGTCAATCACACTTGGAAAACTAGGACTTGGAATAGGGCGTTGTCTCTTGCGCTTAAACGGTAGGAACTCAGGGAATCAGGAAACCTGAGGCCGAATAAAATTAACAGGCTATCTGATAATAATCAGCAATCTTAAACCTAGTGCGGATGCTTAAGCGATCTCGGGGTATAGGGATTGATGAGGAGCGTCTCTCCATTAAAAGATAAGGCTGTTGTAATCAGATCTATAGCTGTTGTAATGACAATTAAAGTGATACCGCAGAGAAAAACCTTAATTTCTTCTACGGGTACCTAAGATGTTTTTTGGTAACTATGCGTAACTTGCGTAATCGTTGCCTTACTCGTTGTTGAACGCCCTTAGGCCTAAAAACTTTTTTAAACTTACCCGCCATAGAGGCGCTGCTCATCCTTCCGCGTGTAAAATCAATTTTTAAATTTTAATTCACAACTTAGATAATAAAATATTACTCAACAATAATCACAACTTTAAAATATATGATTTTTCTAACAAATGAAATGACATTAACGTTGTCAAAAGTTTGATAGTATTTATGAAAAATTAAATAAAGCTATGCAGGTTTTACTACTATCTGTCTCACGAATTAAAACGAGAGTATGGCCTGTCTAAAGGAGAGAGTAGTGATCATAAGGATGGTTTAAAAATAAATAATAATCATCGCCCAATTTCCAGGCCAATCCGTTCATCTCTAATGCCGTAAAGTTGAAAGAACAAGAAAAGAAAAACAATTTGACACTGACATTTTTGACAGTTCTGGCAGCTGACAGTTTGTGTGTGAGTTATAGTTCCAAAATACTGAGCCCCGATTACGGTAACTTTTAACGTCAACAATCCAGACACGCTTCTCGATTCTGCGATACGATTGGTCAAAACAGCTGACGTACGCTGTTGAACGACCAATCGTATCGCAGAATCGAGAAGCGTGTCTGGATTGTTGACGTTAAAAGTTACCGTAATCGGGGCTCTGGACTGTCCTGTCGATGACATTGACAGTGGGGCGCCACCGTCAATACCGGATCGCTGGTTCAGATTTTTGCCATGTTGGAAACCATATAGTTGAACGATGGTAGCGCCCCCCTGTTATTGAGTTTGGCGGGACAGTTCAGCGTGGGTCATCTATAATTTCATGTATTACTTTTCTCTATGGTTAATTTATCTCTATAGTTCCAAAATACTGAACTGTCCTATGCATGACATTGACAGTGGGGCGCCACCGTCAATACCGGATCGCTGGTTCCGATTTTTGCCATGTTGGAAACCATATAGTTGAACGATGGTAGCGCCCCCCTGTCATTGAGTTTGGTGGGACAGTTCAGCGTGGGTCATCTATACTTAATCTGTGGTTACGTTACAATACAAAGTGAGGTTATGATGTTTTGGTTTGATGGTACAAAACAAAGTAACTTTTACCAAAAATACAGCGGTAATTCGTTAATTTACGTATTTGACAAAAATTTAATAAACAATGCCACCAAAAAAGAGAGGCACCGTTCATAACCGACGCACAAACCATCATGTTAAACGAGATTACGCCGAGAAATTCAATGACCTGAGTATCCAGTCGTCGTCAGAAGAATCAAATGAAAACGAGAGCTCAGGGAGTTCAGATGACGAGGGTGTTCCACCCACCTTCAATATCAGCATGTGGGATTTAAATCACTGTGACCCTAAAAAGTGTTCAGGAAGAAAACTCGCTAGACATAACCTCATCAAGAACTTAAAACTTGGACAACGCTTTCCAGGACTCGTATTGTCTCCTGTTGGTACTCAGTGTGTGAGCCCGGCCGATAAGGATATAATAGAAAAGTTTGGACTAGCTGTGATAGATTGCTCCTGGGCGAAAATCGATGAAACCCCATTTGACCGTATGAAATCAAATCATCCAAGATTGTTGCCATTTTTAGTCGCTGCAAACCCCATAAATTACGGAAAGCCGTACCAGCTTAGCTGTGTTGAGGCATTGGCAGCGGCTATGGTTATTACAGGCCAAAAGAAAGCGGCACAATTTTATTTAGGAAAATTTTCATGGGGCCATTCTTTCTTGGAATTAAACTCTGAAGTGTTAGATCTGTATTCTAAATGTACTGACAGTAAGAGTGTGATAGAAGCACAGAACACCTTCTTAGAGAATGCAAATAAAGAAAGAGACTCAAAACCTATGTGGCCTCCGAGTGATTCTGAGACTGAGTCAGATGATAGTTCATAGTAATTTTACATTTAATAGTGATGTTATTCATGTAATGTTATTATGTATTTGTAAATAATTGTAAAAGTATCAATATATTTAAGCAATATTTACCTCAAATGTAATAAAATAGGTGCGATTTATTTAAAAGTGTTGTATAATTTATGAGTATTGACCTTTGTATAATTGTGACAAGTATTCACATTTTAACAAAATATAAAAAGTACCAAAAAAATACCAGTTGTAGGTATAATTTTGAAAGATTCACTTTTCTGAAACACATTTTATTTGCTATGTTAAAATAACGCCATCTAGCAGACACTTCATAAACTAAATGCGTCATAGTAAGTAGCGCCATCTATTTAATCACAGTTGTTTTAAATTCAACGAGTCAGTGACGTAGTTGGTAGTTTAAAAGCAAACCAACAGGTAGCGCTATATTACCAAAGACCGGTAAAAAGCTTCCCGAAAGTTGAGCTTGGTGTACATTCAGTTAGTTTGCTTTTGCATTTTGTGAGTGTAAGTTGGGTCTGTGACGTTCGAAGTGTGTTTTCGTAACTCGCGGAGTAACTTATTTATCACTAACTGTTTTGTGTATGAGTGGTGAAATTCTGTGTATAGTGATTACTGTGTATGTGGCTAATAGAGAAGTGACTATTCATCGGAATTTACCTAGAGAAAAACTTTTAGGTGAGTTTGTCCGTACATTTACTTCGGTGCAACCTGTCACGCAGGTGTCTCGCAAGTCAGTAACCTCAATGATGAATAAACACTACAATTTTCCATGTACCGATATACATTTGCCATTAATTCGTAAATAAAAACTTAGGTAAACTTCGTATCTTCTGTTTTTTTATTTCTAAAAAGTTATAAATTGCCTTTACTTCGTTCCTAGACACGTTGTTTCAAGGCTAATAGTCTACTTTTATAGAGCAAGCTTTATCTAAGTAGATACGAAACTTGTGCTGGTTCTCTACATTGTTTTTTTTTTAATTTGTTTTAAAAAGACAGTTTTGTTTAAAAACTTCGAACTTAGACGTACCTACCTAATTGGTGGCCACTGAGCAAATAAACTAACTCTACGTTCATGTTTGCTGGTGGCTGTTTTCACTGGTGGCTCTACCACCGTGTTTTTGCTTGCCGGTGACAAAATGGCCAATGGACTGGTGCGGTAGCGTGAAGTTTAGAACCGAGTAGGTTAAGTACAGGTTCGATAGCCGATTTTAAAAACGTACCTTATAGGTACCTACTTACTTAAAATGAATTTTTGAGTTTCGGTGTTATAAAATGCTATTAGACGGCCAATGTAGGTACCTACCTACTTAATCCATTGGTGTTAGTGTTTAACTAACACTTTCAACCTCTATTAAAAATCTATCTGTTATTAGCTTGTTAGGTAGGTAGGTAGGTACCTACCTACCTACCTACCTGCTATATACTGAGTTAGGTAGGTAGGTACAGTCAGCGTCAAATAGTTCGTGACACCCAAAATGGCCAAAAAGTTGTGTTGCGAACTTATTGGCTACTTTGGGTGTCACGAACTATTTGACGCTGACTGTACTTGGAATTTTTACGCTACACTCCTAAATTAATAAAACCTAGATGGATAGTCTTCATACAAACGCTTCGTCAAGAGTGAGGCAAAAATCTTATGTCATTAGTGTCAATTTTGTTCGGGAGTGTAGACAGTGAAGGCGATTTTCCCGAAAGTAGGGAAAATTTTAATACGTTTTTAATTATTTTATAATTAACAAAAACAAAACGCATCATGTACTTACTTATTTATTGAATTCAAAGTACCTACCTAATAACAATAAGATAAATCGACTTAAAAGTCTCGATTTCATAAAAAAGGAAGTGTATTTGTACGGCGAACAATTGGGAAAAAAATTTTCTTGTTACTGGTATCATTCCCGTATTTAATTTTTGAAAGCCAAATTCAAGCAAAATACGCGTCTAATTGTAGTAGAAATGTAACACTGGTCACTTTCTTTCGTTTTTCTGATGTATTTAAGACACCCTTTCACAGCACAAACCGTTTTAATTAATTAAAATTCGTCGGACGTGTTTACCAATTTTTCACTTTGACAGTTCATGTGACGTTTACGGGTGAGCCGTGCCGGCTCCCTAAAAACTGCCTCACTTTTCGTGCACTGACTATCTATCTAGGTTTTATTAATCTAAGGCTACACTAAGATTATTGGGAGTAGCTATTTTTTGCAATAATTTATTTTAAGAGAAAAGAGGTAGGTAGACATTTGCACCTACTTTCACACTTAAGTAAGGATGCGCACTATAGAATTTGCTACACTGGATGTGTTCTGTAATCTGCGGTCGTCAAAGTGAACGCAGCCGGCATCTTGGAACAACATTGATTTATCCTATGCTTAATTTTTTCGATGCGATCTGACAGTGCGGGCACGAGCAAAGAACGCAAACCGGACTGCTGACGAATTGCCCTGACCGACAATGTTAAATTCATCTATGATGCGGGCTGCGTTCACTTTGACTTGACCGCAGGCCGCAGAACGCATCTAGTGTAGAAAATCCTTATCCATAATGTCCATAATAAAATATTGAAACTCTTCCTCGTCCCAAAACACTGGCACCTAAAATTCTGAACGTAATTCCATTTCAAAATGATTCTGACATGTATTTCTGATATTTTGACAATGTCAATAGTATTTTGAGGAGAGTTCGATGTGATCGATAAAATTTCAGTGATTTCGTCTAAAAGGCGGAATTTCACTAATGCGCTGGCGTTTGGAAGAAAACATGTTGATAAGATTGATATCGACCGCTTGATTTACGTGTCATTGTGACTATGTACTTGTCCGGTAAGTTGCAACATTATTTACTATCCATACCTACTCTTATTAAACAAACCAACCTCTATTTCACACCTTGCAAGCTTTATTTTGGTAACCTATGTCCTTCTCTTAGGTCCAATCAATCTCTATAGATGACCATAATTCATCAAAATTGATTCAAAGTAGTAAGACGTAAATAAAAATGTATCTTGGAATCCATCATTTTTTTGTTACGATACACGATTGACTATGTAATAGACCTTAAAGTGCGCGGATGAAACTACAGATAGAAGCAAGGTTAAAAGCTAATATGCGTCCATTGAGGACATGTTCTATCAATTTCTATCCATAATTCAAAATTTTACCCTAGGTTTGTCTCCCTTGTGCTCCCAACTTGCTGGATGGAATTTAGCTCAGGAGACTGACTAACCAAGGTCTGCGTGTAGTTTTTCCACTTATTAAGGTGGTCACGTAGACCAACTTTAATCAGATAATTTTATCAGTAACCTGTAATTTTACAGGTCAACCATGTTGTAGATGTGACCATGTGGTACGTCATGTGAACGGACTGTTTGGATCTGTGCATGTCAAATTGTGCTCGTTTCAAGAGTTTTCGAGCCGTTTATTTTGAATGTTACAATAACTAGTACAGAAAAAGCATCATAATGAGGCCCTCCCAGGACTCCGGGGCTCCGAGTCAGAGTTGCTCGTGTACTACTTGTACGTATAAAAGTGAATCTGAAAACCCATCTATCAAACGAATCATAGCAGGAGGATCGAGAATCGATAAACTTTATTACGGTAAATATATACCGCTAAGAGAGCGAAAGTTGTTAGATAAATTAGTCAGAACAAGAGCTGTCTACGACGATATCAGGAATCAACTTCTGTCCGAAAGTGATGTCAGTATTAAAGAAAAAGCTAACTTGAAACCGAGAAAACACGTACAGGCGCGCCCTATGGCGGCTACTGATAAGAGCAGTGCGATTTTAGAGCTCGTTGATCTTGTTGATAAAGGGAATGTGAGCGGCGGGAAAAAACTGAGCGAATGCTGTAGTTGCTGCATCTGCGGTTCCAAACAAGCCCACACCCATGAGCACACGTCACACATGCGTCGCCATAGACATGCTCATGGGAAAGCTCACGGTGGTGCTTACACTACGTCAAGAACAAGCATGATCCGCAAAAAAATGGGAGAAGTAAAAAGGAGTGTTAGGTTCAAAGCAAAGTCCATTAGATCTGCACCATGCACATGTGCATCTAAAGTCGGCGGCATGATTAAACGCCAGTCACAAGAAATCATTAAACGATTACGACCTGAAGGTTCTAAAGCTATGTTGGAACAGACTGCGATAGAGTCTTATGAACGAACCGCCGGGGGACAGAAGAAGCAAAAAATAATGCAAAAAACTTACCAAAAAATTAGAAGATCTAAAACCAACTTAATGGAGAGTATGGGGGAAGGAGCTAGAAAATTGAGAGAATCACAGACGAAAGTAAAAGAACACTTTGGAGCTGAAGCCAAGAAATCATTGGAAAGAATGAAACATGCAAAACACAGAGCCAAAGAAAACGTTAAAACTGTTATTAGAAAATCTATGCGTAGAAGGCAACCGCCATCTGAAGAATTGAATTTCGACGAATTGGATTTTCCAATTCCAAAAAAAGATTCGATAGCAAAATTTAAAGAAAGGCTTCAAAGAAAAAAACACGATCGTGATTACCACGCATGCGAACATGAGTGTGTTGCTGACGAATGCGTACCTGAGAATTGTTTTAAAATTATAAAATTGCGAAGAATTCGACGGGAAAAGAAAGAGAAAGTAAAGCAGGATAAGTTTGGCGTTGAAAAAAATGTTAGTGTGTCATCAGGTGCATCAAGTGTAGGTTTACAAGCTCAACAACAAGGAGTAGGTGTGACCACAGAAACAGACCGCACCAAAAAACAAGCAATCAAAAAGAAGCGACCTTCAGCGGAGCCGCGAATTAGTGTAGATCTTGGCATCAAAAAGACAGGCATTGAACCTCGTGTTACTGTTACAAAATCTAGAAAAGTAAAAGAAAACGAAATGTGCGCTTGTCAGGAAGCACATTCTAAAGTACCTCCAAAGGAAACTAAATCGGATAAATCTACGACAAGCCTACCACCTGTGGCCTCAAAACCAAAAAAAGGCCAACAGGCAAGTTCGTCTGTTAGTTTAGGAATAGAGATTCGTAAAGGGAAAGCTAGAAAAACATCACAAAAGCAATCGGAAGCGTCTGGCCATATACACATGA